GGAGTAAATTCAGTTGATTGGACATGAGGGAATGTACAGCATATCAGGCCAAAACCAAGCCGTGGGGTGGAAGTAGCTGCCTGCAGAGCTCATAGACTAGTCTTAGGGATCTGGGGAAGGCTACAAAAAAACTTCCAATGTGGTGTGGTCTGAGCAATCAGGGGAGAATCGTCTTGGTAATAGGGGTTAATAAGAACACAAGGGTCTCTGTGGCTGAGCCCCAGAGATCCTGTGTGGAGAAGTAGAGTAATCCTTGCAGCAACCACAGATCTGGGTTTAGTGAAAGACACATGAGCAGCAAACGGACTCAAGCTACAAGAAACAAGACAAGATTGAACTGTTTGGCGTCATCTCTCGAGCCGCTTCCAGACCTGCGCTGAACTGCAGGTCATTTCCTGACACTGAGCGGAGGGGCGGTATATGTGAAGGCAAATGTCAAAGTCAGTCGATGCGGACATTCTACAGACTTTCTCCTGCCAGTCCCCTTATGACTTCTCCTGAGATTGTCCAAATGAGCCCATGGGAGAAAACAGCAGGAGATCTGCAGAGACAGTGGGCGTGATGATGAAACGGCTTAGTATGTCTGGATTCATCCAGATATGACACCGAGAGTTGCTGGTTCTCCATCTGGAAACTTCTCCCACCTCCACACATGATATCTGGGGCTCAGCCAGAGTCAGCCTCTCACCTCATACCCTGGTTGCATAATTTACAATGTTCTTCATGAGATGCGTCACCAGAGAGTATTTTAAATACTTAATGTAATCAAATGAATCACTCATATCTTCTTCTGCTTACTTTTCTTAATTAGTTATTGTAAGTTCCAGTCTTTGTTTGCAGCAGCACGCGGAGCACTGTTCAAACAGAGCACATCCCAGTGGACTTCAGCTTCCAGCTCACTGCGGTGAAAAATGTGACGCACTGAAGCCTTTTACAGATACTACGTTAAACCAACCATGAACTATGTTTACCACGGGAGGTTCTATTGAATGTGGTGGCAGATAAATACTGGAAAAGCAGTTTCATTGGAGCATCAGAGTTTGTGAGGAAGTCTGATTGGAGGAGCTGTGAAGGTGATAGGAGGCAGACATGAGCAGTGATTCATTTACGAGTGTACCACCATTATGAGAGAAGAAAAAAAGAAATTGATGTAACCTAAACTGGTCAATGCCACTGATCTGACATCTGACATTTGCAAAGTGTGGCTCCTGTTAGCTCTTAACCCAGCTGGTCCTGAGCGGCACACACACCTTCGCAGACTGGACAAACCGGGGATCGAACCTTTGACCTTCTGGTTAGTTGATGATTATCTCTATTGTGGATTTGGGGAACCTTCACTGTATTATTTGGAGCTTCCCAAGACCTGACTCTTGGCAGGGAAAGGCCTTTTCATTTGTTTAACGTTTCTTCTTTGCTTGTTTCTGGCAGTGTTGTATTTTTCTCGGCAGCGACACCTATAGTTCAACAGAAGTCTGCACTGAGTCTTAAAGGGAAAGGCATCGTGTTGACATCACAGTTGTTACATGGAATGACCAAATCCATCAAGCAAAGCTGCAGCTGAAGAGTAGAATTTCATGGCCGAGCTGTTGCTTCTGCAGGATTTTCAGTGGGGTTGTGATTGAGGTTTTCTCTTCGGTTTGACACAGTTGTCATCAGGCAGACAACCATCTCACACTGTAACCTGCTCTCTCTCTGACTGCTGCTAAAGACGGATGGAAACATTATCTTAAAACTAACTGTTATGACTTTGGTGACACAAGGCAAAAGCAGCTAAAGTTTGTGTTTGGAAGACACTGGTGGTTATTCAAAGAGAAAATACCCTTGGGACCTTAGAAGTAAATAGTCCATCATGTGCTGTGCTCATCCTCCATCATCTACTCATTACTGTACTAAGGAAAGGGGGAGAGAGTGGGAGGAGGTTGAGAGGAGGAGAGATAGAGAAGGAGAGATGGGGAAAAGGGTGAGACAGGCCCAAAAATAAAGGAAGGAAGAGCTCTAATGAGTACACTCAGGTTAGCTCAGTTGCTGTGACAACGCACCGACTCAAGCCACAAGACTGCACACACACACACACACACACACACACACAGACACACATGCTTGTACATGTATTTTAGTGAGGACACTCATTGCCATAATGCATTCCCTAGCTCCTAACCCTAATCCTAAAACCAAGTCTTAACCCTGAAACATCCCATTGAAAGTGTGTTAGAACGTTAGGACCGGCCAAAATGTCCTCACTCTGTAGATTGTTAAAACGGTCCTCACAAGGATATATGTACAAGTACAGAGTAAAGGACAAAATATATCCCTTCAAGCTTTTGTCATCTCCATGTGTTTGCATACCCAGGAGAACACACACACACACACGCAAACACACACACGCAAACACTGCAGTGAGATCGAAAATGGCCCGTGTCCACTTCCATAGTGAAAACTATAAACTAGGTGTGCCAACATAAAGAAACGCAGCCAAAGCTTTGAACCAAATCAATCAGGGACACCGTGCTGCGACGGTGCCAGCTGGAGCGAGCTGAAGAGTTTCAGAGGAGGAGAGAGGAGCTCCGGACAAAAGAGGAAAAACCTTCACAATGCAGCAGATCCTCTCAAGACCTCAGGCGTCCACACTGACTAGCACAGTGTGTGACAAAGTAAAAATACTTCCTCAAACTGTGTGCATCCAGCATACAAACCTATTTTTGCGATAACATTTTTTCTGCTTTTCAAATGAATCTCCATGGCAATAATCAAAAGTCACAGAAGGCATCTTGTTGAAGACAAGTTATTTAACCATGAGGAAAATAGTGACTAGCTACAGTGATTTAGTGCTGTACTTTAGATCTTAGTAATCTTTGCTGATATGCACGACTCAAGAATAATACATTTTTAAAGGTTGTGGGCGTTTTTTAATTATTTTGCTTAATTAGACCCAGGGTTTTGTTGAAGCTGAGTGGAGCTGTGCTGGGAAATAAGTGGCGTAAACAAACTCTGATTAATAATATAAATGTGATCCGTGACAGGTGAAACAAAGCTCAGGAGCTGTCAGCCTGTACTCACTTATTTTGACTGTTTTCCAACAACCCATTTAAGTTATTGAAAGAGACTTTACAAGGTCACAATTTGGCTTCAAACTCTTTTGTGCTACCTTGCAAGGCTTCTGCTTTTCTTACAGAAATCCAGTTCTGTTGTATTACACTGAGGTTTACGCTCTGCAGACACTAAAGAAGAGCAGATGTGACACTTTGCAGTTATTGCTCATTCCTCCTCTCAAAAGGCTGAAGTGTGACGGTATACAGCCTGGCTGTGAAGGGTGGCTGTGTATGTGCTTACTGCTCCGACTGCGGCTGCATTTTATTGATTTCTGCGTTGATATGGACATGGCTGAGATAGCTGTGCAGGGATTTAAACAAATGATGCTTCTATCAGACAGCTCAGTTGTGTGACCAGTACACTACACGACTTCAGGAATATGATGGCTATAGTACAATACTCTACCATCATAACACACACAACTGGTGTGTTAATGATACACCCACAATGCACCCATAAAGCAGAGTGACACAAGTCGTCAAAGCCATGGCTATGTCTGAAATCGCTCACTCGCCACTATATAGTCCACTATAGAGTGAATTTGCAATTTTGCAGTGCTGTCCAAATGCTCAGTGAAGGTTTTAAACCCTATGTGGACTCATTGTTTCCCACCATGCTTTGTGAAAAGTAGTGCACAACCGATGGTCACAAACAAAGCAATATTTAAAAAAAGTCTAAATCAGGTTTATATGTATATGAATCTGAGTTGCGACAGTAAAATATGTGGTGAGAGTCTAAAATAAACTGTGAATGTGTGAAATAAACATTAAAACAATGATTTTCCACCAGCTGAAGTTGTTGCATCATGATTACGTAATTACGGGCGCAGAGAAAATGCTCAGCGTAGCGTCCGAAAGCGTTTCTTTCTTTGCCGATGAGCTCGCTATATAGTCCTCTATATCAACGTCCCTATAAAGTAAAGTAGGGGATCACGAATGAACGGGGAATTTTGGACACAGCCCATGTCAACACAGGGTTACAGTCATAATCGCCTCTATAGTTTCCTCAGTGCAGAGAGCCAGTTCTGTAACTCCAATTATCTGTCTACCTGTAGTCCATCTGAGTCCATCCCTGCAGACAGTGTGCTGAATTACACTGTGCACATCTAATGGTGCTCCAATACACAATATATGTAAAGCTGAACATTGTGAGGGGATGCTAAATGTTAGCTGGTAATGAAAATGTACTGGGATGTCATGGCCTTCCATTAAATAGGTGTAGAGCTATTTTTGTCAGGAGCAAAGTGGTGGACCAATCAACCAACCAACAGACGGACTTTGTCATAACTGGAGCTATGCCTCTAGCATATCTGAAGATTTACATATCATTTATACATCCTCTATACCATTTATGTAAACCATGACAAGCCTAGAAGGGTTAGAGCCAATCCCAGCTGACATTAGGTATGAAGAGGACTACACCCTGAATGTGTCGCTGGTTCATCACAAGGCCTGAAGGGCTTGTAGCAGGTGTCATGCACAGTAGCCATACTAGAAGTAGAACCCTCAAAGCTAGAGCCAGAACCATAATATTGTGTTATATTGGGCTTGTCGTATATATTACCACATGACAATGGAATTAAACTGTTTTATGTCTCCGGAGGATTAAGCTGCATTTTCCACTAACAATAACCCATAATACAGGAGCACAAAATACTGCAGCTAATGCATTTCTGTCTCAACAAAAATCAATCAACTATATAGATTAAAATGTTATAGATCAGTAATAAATTAGGTGGAAGTCACTTTTAAGCTGCGCTGCGATAACACATTTACAGCTACCTCCAGTTATCACTGCACAGCCGGTCACAGCTGCAAGGACAGTGCATCTGGATGTGTGTATGTGTGTGTGTGTGTGCACTGTATGTCGCTTTGTGCATTCATTCATGTGTGTATTTGTCTCTGTGTTAGTGCTGTAGGGGAAATGTTCTCTCCAGGGGCCAGTGGAGGGCCAAGGGGCTTGAGTTGACAACACTGATAACCAAGATCAGCTGCTCGAGTAATGAACCTCCAGCATAAACACACACACACACACACACACACACACACACACACACACACGGGTGAAGCGTGCAGACACAGCTTGAGTTTCAGAGAGGTGGAGGGAGAAACAGATGTCACACTGAAGCTGAGAGGAGGCTTCTTCACATCCTCATTTGTACCTCAAGGCAAAATGTCTGCACACACACACAGAGCGAAGAGAGAGAGCATCCATCTGCAGAGCACAGACCAGTCTCCCTTTTGATGTCAGTCCAACATGAGGCAAGAGGACAAAAGAAGCATCACATTGCGAATACAAAAATCAACAAACTACAGCACTTCAGAGAAAACTCTGATGTGCAAAAAACAAAATTATCACACAGCAGCCTTGCAATTAGAAAAGTGAATTTGTGTTGCAGATGGCATGCATTTCAAACACGTGTAATATTTCCTGAAATGTGTCATATGTCCGTGGAACGTAAAGTGTCATCAGGAAAATGTTTTTCATTTCAATTTTCACTGAAAGGGGCAATGCTCATTACACCTAATTGTATTCTTATTAGCATACTAAGTACAATCTGCACAGCACAAGTGAGATAATGATGATAATGATGATAATTTGTCCTCTGCTTACCTTCCTCAGCAGGTTGCAGATCCTCTCAATATTCCGCAGTCTCTCCCTCTGTAAGACAAACAAATAAAGAGGTAAGTTTATCAAATTATTTTTTTCATGATGGCTGAGTATTCTGACATTTGAACAAAGAGGAAGTAGAATAGAAATAGTGCAAGTTTGTCCTTGTGCTGTATCTAGACGTTGTAGGTGTTGAATGGGCCTGATGCTGAGTACGGGTATCCTTCCCGAACGCTGCTCAAGAATATGTATGATGAGAAACTACAGGGATGATCACAGCCAAATATGCTTTACATTAATTCTATTTCACAAACTCTTTGAATGTCTTAAAGGTGTGGATTCAAGTTCAATTAACTTCAGACCGGACAAAACCACAAAGATGCAGTTAGACCCAATTTTGCACGATAAATATTCCTCTAGTCACTTTCATTTCACCCACCGCAGCCAATCAGCATCCATCTTCATCTGCTGCTCATATTTATTTCTGTGCACTTCCAAAACAAGCATGACTCAGAGGTCCAATCCACACCCTCTCCCAAACTGGATCTGTGTTACGCTGTGTGTTCAATACCAGACTGATCTCTGCAAGAGGAGGAATCAGCTCACAACTAGGAGTGTCTCACTTCTTCATAGGAATTGCTGGGTGACGAGGAACTCTTGTTGTTTATGACGAGCAAAAGCAAACATCAAAAATGTACCTGTAACTTAAACCAGCATCTGGTTTAGATTTCACAAGTGAGCTGTTTTATTGCCGGGGTCATTCCTTTTTTATTCTCCATAACTTAAACCATCAAAAACAACATTAAATCACCCTCAGGTTTCTTTTCAGCTGTTCCTGAACTATGGGACAACAGAAGTCATCATGGGGTTTCACACGTTCCCATTTGTCCCACTTACTTTTGGTTTCACATTGTAATTTAGGGAGCTGATGAAATACTGTGCCTGATTTATGTACATCTACATGTTCTTGACATTGACTGGTTTGTAGACAGGTGTGTGTAAGCTGTTGTGTTCACAAACTTTTTTGAATGAATACGTAGAAAAAAAGCACTTTCATATTGCTCTGGGTGAAGATACAAGCTATCCTGTAAACTGCCTCTTTTTTTCCTTCTATTGTTTCATAGAGTCTCATCTTCCTGCAGTTGGTCCAAAAGTCTGAACTATCCCCAAAACATATAGCTTGGACTAAATTTAGGTCTGTTGGTTCACACCATGGTCGAAGGCACCTTTCACAACTGTTATTTTGGTTTGGACTAAACTGAAAAGTCTCAGGGTCTGTACCAAACAAGATGTGAAAGCCCCCTGGGGTTCAACAAAGGCTCAAAGTTAACAGACCAAAGTCACGCCTGTTGCTGTTCTTTTTTGGTGTAACTGAGTTGGGTATGGGATGTCAATGTATTACCATTGGTCTTGGGTCTGAGTGTCAATAAAGCTGTTTTCAGACATGTCCTGCAGAGAAATTCAGGGAAATTGGGTCCGGACTTTCTCCGCGGTTTGCCTTTCACACATGCTCAATGCAGCTAATCTTTTGAGCAGCTTCTGACTACTACCTGAGGGGATCGGGGTAAGCTTATGATTATCTGGTGTCTTTTAGTTATTAAAGCAAAGGGGGGGGGGCAACATGGAGAATCAAAAACAGGTACTGCAGAGAGAAATGAATTGCATGTATTAACTACACCCACCCCACAGATCTTTGCATTGTCTTCATATAAGAAGTGCAGTGTAACAGCAAAATGTCACTATTTGAGTTTCTCTCTAGTGGTAGTTCTCTTTGTTCATACAAGTTAGTACTTTGAATATTTCTAATGTCTTTGTGTGTTTATTCATCTGTAAAATGCCTAAATCAGCAATCGCCACGATGCTGAGGCACCGTTTCACCGAAGCTTTTAACATCATCATCAAATATTTACTGAAGTCCTACTGAGAACCAATATGGAGTGGAGTGGCAGTGCAGTGTGTTCCACAGGGGGCGATGCATAGCTGCGGCAGCTTATAAATCATACATCGATCTGAGCGTCACACTGTTTGTGCTCGTGGACAGTCCATTTGACTTTGTTCCTCTTGGACGGACTGGCTGCAAGTCAACAACAGAGTCACCATGGGAACGGTAAAGTATTTCGGCACATACACAGTATCAAAGCCAGGATGTCTAAAGCAGAACTGATATTTAGCAGCCACACAAGAAAACCGGATTAAAATGGATGAAAATGTGCTGAAATAATTGGACTGAAAACACATTATGAAACAATATTTTTAGTGTTTTCTGATCCACATTCATCCGGTTTCTGTGATTTACCTTTTCATCAGCTTAAAGCCACAGAAAGAATACTTCATACTGTAGCCTACTTTCAAGACCTTATGGGTTTCAGCTCACCTGTGCATTTTTAATATCATGTGGGTTTAATGTTGAGTGCAGGGGAGAAGTGTGCTGAACTACAGGGCAAGTAGTCATGCAGCAGTGTGTGTGTGTGTGTGTGTGTGTGTGTGTGTGTGTGTGTGTGTGTGTGTGTGTGTTGAGCATAGACCTGGTGGAGTGGGGACATTTTGGCAGATCCTCAGTTATTCAAGGAGCTGTTACTTTTAGCAGGTTTAGGTTATGGTTAGGATTAGACATTTAGTTGTGATGGTCATGGTTAGGTGACGGTGATGGGGAATGCATTATGCCAAAGAGTGTTAAAGGTAAGATAGAAGTACAAGTGTGTGTGTGTTGGCATGTGTCAAAAACTAACAGAAGCAGGAGCTCACTGAAAGCTGCAAGAGATATGGATATGTGTGTAGAGTCATCACGCACACACACACACGCACACACACACACCACACTTGCCAATTTAAAACTGGCATGAATTATTTCAGCCAAACAGCAACCCATGAAATATGATTTTTATTTAGCCGAGGGCTTCACTGAGTCTCCTAACTTCACTGCGTTTATTTCAGTCCAATAAAAGCTAGTTATTATCATACAACAGTTATTTCTCCTCTTCTGTGCATGTGGAGTGTATTAATATACACAAATCAATGGCGACCTGCTGTGCCACACAGTCTTTACGGAGTGTGTGGCACAGCATGTGTAATTCTACTTTTCACATTTGAACGTGTTACCATGACTCTTTCGGCAGCTTTTAACACCTCCAGTGCCACTCGGCTCTTTCTTGATAAGTATGTGTGCATATGTGTCTCTGTCTTTGATACATATGTTTTTTGAAAGAATAGTTCCACATATTGTGTGTAAAATAAGGAGCTAATACCACTTCCATGTCATTTTCTAGTTTTAACAAATTACAAATAACCATAGATAACCATAGATTACAAACCATACATGTGCGACTCACATCAGCCACTGTGATGCCCCTCAAGCAACAGTCAACACTATTCTTACCCTCACACCACTGTCTAACGTCCTAATAATGGCATCAAGCCAGATGTTGCCAGTCAAAGATGCTGCAAACTGTTGCTCAGTAGATGGACCTGCCATTCAGTCTTAAAGCAAAGGCAGGCTCACCACGACCTGACCCAAGCTCCTCAATGAAAGCTGTACTGGTCAAATATAAGCATGTGCATGGTTACTCATATTAGTGAATGCATAGAACCGTTTTTTTTCTATGGTCACCATTTAAGGGGGGAAATAGCTGAGATTTTGAAAATAAACACATATGAAGAGAATAAAGTCATCATTAATGGGAAAAATCTCATAATATTATCAGAATAAAGTCATAATGTAATTGTCAAAGTTAAATAAAGAAAAAAAAAACATAAGGAAAAAGTAGCAAGGAGAACTAGACTTTTACTCTTGGATCCAAAAACTTGAAGCAATCTCATGGTTTCCTGAGACTCAACATAAAACCTCTGAAAAGCACACAAATGTAACGAACATAAGCCTTGTAGGCGAGAACTACATTTCATCCACCACAAAATAGGCAACTTCCTCCAAGCCTGTGGGAACCTTTCTTAGAAGAGACAGTTTCTTGTGCAATCCTTTCAAATTCCTCATACTAAAATTGCTTTATTCTTGTATGACATTTTTCTTGTAACAATACATCTCCCCTAATACTCCGTCATACGTTCCAGCAGAGGCAGGCATATTTTTTCTTTAATTAAAATGCTCTTAATTGACTATAATTTGGTACTAGCTGGATAACATAGTGGAGAATTGGACCTCACAGCTCTAGGTGACCAAAACAACAACTCAAATGTATGCTAAATATGGCTGTGTGTCTGTTGGATGTGCACAGTAACTAAGCAACTGTGCTGGGTTCTACTTGCTGTTTGAAGTTTAATTTCAAAATTGATCTTAACATGCAGAAGGCTTAGTATTTCCTAAAATATGCATTGTTGAGTTTTTACTATTTAGTACTATTGTAATATAATTACAGTTTTTCTAGACTGCTACTGACATTTCTACTGTAAAATGTTTAATTCATGTTTGTGTTTTAAATAATGAAACCGGAGGGTCTTGGGTGGGAGGCTGCAAACAAGTCTAAATAACCCCACTGTAACAAAGGAGAGAGGAAAAGCTGGAGAGACTAAAAAAGTCATATGAAAATGAGTGTGACAATTTTATCATTTTGTAGCATTTATTCT